CAATTCTCTAGTATTAAATTTAAATAAATCATTTCACGACTCCAAAAATTATAGAAAAATATTCATAAAATAAATCATGTTATTTAAAAAGCACCAGTGAAATTGGTTTACAAAATGGACACCTAAAGGTCCCAAAATCCTCACTTATACCGACAGGTACAAATTCCATAAAGATTTTCATCGATGCCCAAAAATTACAAAAAAAAAATTGTGTAAGTAAAATACTATGTTTTAAATACTATAGTGAAGATGGATTCTGATTTGAAGTTGTAATGACTCCAGAAAAATGGCAAAATCAAAATGCGGGTTATTACATATTAACCTTATAAAGACTATAAATCCATCCATAAGTCAACACCACTTTAAATTATTGATGAATCAATGAGAGGAAATATTAATTCTTGCATGGTGACTTTATCCTATGTGAAACAAGTTCCTTTTCACTAGCAAGTCTTGGCAGTTTCTCCTAATAATTATAAAAACTAGCTTAAGGTGTGTCCCACTAAAGATGAAACCAAACTATGCTAAATATATCTAAAAGAAAGCAAACTTCCTTTATTATATTATATTTGAGTAAGTAAATAAAATCTCAATTCTTCATTTGCAAGGTCAAATTTTGTAACACATTTCAATTACATTTATTCTTTATCAAAAGTTAGTAGAGTTACAAATAAGTGAACACTGATATATTATTTATATGACTTCTTAATTATTCTATAAACTTAGCATGTTGAGGTTTTATTAAAAAGTACCTACATGGTGAGTATGGCTATATTCATCACATAACTTCCACATGGTCACACTAATTTCATAAAGTTTCCCAACCTCAAATTCATCGAGTTCTAGTTTCTAAAGTCTAATACTTAGTTTTATGTCAATATTTCTATTACATTACGTCCCATTCATTTGATTATGATTAGCATTAACATATTATTTTTAAGATCCATTTTACCATTCCACTTTTTGTTCAGTTTTAGCTAAGTCAAACATATGGAATAATTTGTTGATCATTTATTGAGTGAGTTTTGCTATAACCATTGTCTATCATAGCAATTCATATTAAAGTGCCAAGTTAAGGAAATAGGAAAAAATATGTAAACTTATATTAGTATATACAAATACAAATATTAAAAATTGTCTACATTATTTTCCAAACATATTACATTTTAAATATCTCACTTAACATGAAAAAGATTTACAATGTGAGGTGACCATAGTAATTGGTTGTATATGTGCAATCACTGCTCATCTAACATTAGTTTGTACAATTTAACCATGCCTTCTTTTTGTCCAAATCTTTTGATGCAACCAATTTTCGTAAATTGTATTCAATCTCAACATTAAGCTTATTATGATGGATCTCTTCAGACAAGGTATAAATACAGAAAGAAATTAACCCTTTAACCATTTTTTTAACTCGTACGTAAGTTTGGTGATGTGTTCAACTACTTGATTCTTCATCAGCTATTCACACACTCTTTCACACACTTCTATTCCAATGATAATATATAGAGTAAATAATGGAAAATGTGAACTTATCCTCTAAAATATCCCTCAAGATCTTATTTATGTAATTCTTGTTATAGCTTTTGTCATCCTCTTCACTATGAAAAGACCTCATTTGATGATTTTATATAGGTGAATTTATTTAAAATGCCATAAAACTAAAGAAAAATGCCTTGTATCATGGTGCAAGACTTTGTAGAGTCATATCATTAAACCTTAAATTTGACTAAAATGATAGAGAACAAAGCCCCACAGTAGAGGAAAGGCCAGCACTATAGCACCATCTAGGCCTAGTTGCATTGACTAGGGAACTGTAGTGCCAAATCACCTAAGCTCCTTTATAATGTAGTTAATTTGATAGTCGCCAGAGAAATAACATGATAATTTAGTCAGGCTATAGTAGCTGTGGAATTTTGTTTGATTGTTATGTTAGTTCATTTCCTAGGAGTGTGCGAATTATAGAGCGTGATCAGTGGATAATTAGTGTGTTAATTCCTATTTTTAAGAATAAAGGTGATGTACAAGAGTGTGTGAATTATAGAGGAATTACGTTAATGTGTCATACTTTAAAACTATGGAGCGTAGGTTGCAACGTGATACTAATGTTTCTCAAAATCAAATTGGATTCATGACGGGTAGGTCTATTATGGAAGCCATACATTTATTGAGAGGTTTGATGGAGAAATATAGATATAATAAGTAAGTTCTACATATGATATTTATTGATTTAGAAAAAGCATATGATAAAGTTCCAAGAGAAGTGCTATGGAGAGTTCTTGAAAAAAAAAGGAGTTAATATTGCTTATATTCAAACCATCAAAGATATGTATCCAGGAGCTATTACTTGTGTTAAAAAAAATGTGGTTTGACCAAGTATTTTCCTATTTCGGTTGGATTACCTCAAGGATCAGCATTAAGTCCATATTTTTTTTCTTTAGTCATGGATGTTCTCACTAGACATTTGCAAGAGGATGTACCTTGGTGTATGTTTTTTTTCTGATGATATTCTTCTTGTTGATTATATTAGAGAGGGAGTTGAAGGTAAACTTGAATTATGGAGGTCAAATTTAGAGTCTAAAGATTTTCGCTTGTGTAGATCTAAAACTGAATATATGGAGTGTAATTTTAGTAGCAATAGAACTAGTGATGGGATTGTGACTTTGGGTGATCAAGTCATTAATAAGATTATACATTTTAGATATCTTGGATCTATTACTCAGAGTGATGGTGAAATTGATGGGGATATTATTAGCATAATTCAAGTTGAGTGGTTGAAGTGGAGGAATACATCAGGCTTATTGTGCGATAAAAAAGTCCCCCTCAGACTTAAGGGAAAATTCTATAAGATGGTGGTGAGAACTGCAATGCTTTATTGTGCCGAATGTTGGCCATTAAAAGAGAAGCATAAGACTAAGTTAAGTCTGGCAGAGATGAGGGTGCTTAGGTGGATGAGTGGCTTGACCCTTAGAGATAGGATACGAAATGAGATGTATACTTGAAAAGGTTGGATTAGCACTAGTGGAAGATAAGATTAGAGAGAGTCATCTTAGATGGTTTGATCACATTAAACAGAGGCCTTCCGTTGAATCGGTTAGGAAAGTTGAGGTATTAGATTTAACTTATGTTAAGAAAGGTAGAGGTAGTCCTAAAAAGACTTGGTTAGAAAATATTAGAAATGATCTTTCTTTATTAGATTTCAATGAGAAATTGACTTTTAACCAGAGATAATGGAAAAAAAGGATTCATGTAGCTGACCCCACGTAATGGGAAAAAGGTTTGATGATGATGATGATGTTGTTGTTATGTTAGTTCATTTCAGTAACACAGCAACACTATCGCTACTAGCACCACAGTGCTAGAGTTAGTTATAATTATTAAATATAAATAGTGTGGCTGAATTTCTTTGTGGGGGAGGGCTATTTGTGTATTTTTATTCAATCTTTGGAAGATTCTAGATGGTGGGAGAGAGTAAGTTCAAGTCAAGAATATCAAGTTCAGTGATAAGGAGAGTCTGTAATTGTGCTTGTATGGATTTCCTTGTGATATCTATCATTTCCTTTCATCTTGTAATAATATTTATTTTTTAGATGAAAAATGCTTTATTTATTTAAAATTGTATGAATGACTAAATCAATACTCTAGGCTTATGAGATGTCTACATAAGATTAGATTTTCTTATATGAATAATGTAATATTTTTTTAAGCCCTCTTATGCTTTATTTAGTTTGTAAAGAGGCATTGTAAGAGCATAAAATTTAGTATGATCTTCATCCTCATTGGAGAAATAGTGAAATAAATAATGGATTTAGAATTAGATTTATTCATACATAGAAATATGTTGCATAGAGTCCTGGAATCATAAGGGAGATACAATCACTATAGTTAATCACAATTTTAGCTAGAAACTCCAATGAGCCTGATAAAGATGAGAAGTATTTATGTTCTAATTCACAATATCAATATAGGAGATCTATCTTTTTATTATTGAGTTATAAACTATCAATGGTTTAGAAGTATCTATACATTGAATTTTCTTTGTGAGAACTTAGCTGGTAATTTTCATAAGCACAACCCATTTAATTTAATATATAAGATAAATTAAACAATTCATGTTAGTATTACTAGAATTGTTTAGAGGTTACACCTATCATTGTGAGAGTAATACTTTACTCGCTACTTTATTACTTGATTCAATATATGCAACTATGCAGATATAATGATAACCCACAGTTGACATGAAGTTCGAGGGTTTAAAATAACTCCTCGAGTATTTGGTGTCATTTCCATGGATAGTGGTCAATTAATTTTTTATTCACTTTATATTTCTTAAAGGATTGTTGATATACTCTTATCATCTTTTTTTTAATCATATTTTATGTTTGTATTGTTATTTACTTCTACATCATTACAAATTGTTATGGATTTTGATTTGTTTTAATTAATTATGTTCATTAATACAAATTATTATTGTAGTGTTACACTATTAGTTATTACATTATATTATGATCATCAAATTCATATTATGTGTATTGTTGTTGTAGAAGACATAGTAAAGCCTAATTAGAAAAAGTCTTATTTGATACATAAATAGAAAAAATTAAAAAATAAGAATATATATATATTAAAAAATAAGAATTAGAAATGGTTGGACTTGTCTGATAGAATGACCAACCTAAGCCACTGAGAGAATATGGTAAACCTAACATCCAAGCTAATAACTTTGAGCTTAAGCCTACAATCATTCAATGGGTACTAAAAGTTAAGGGGAACTCTTGTGGAGGATCCAAACATTCATATTGGTAGTTTTATAGAGATTTATGTAGTATTTAAGTATAATGAAGTCTCTTATGACACTGTTAGACAGACTATTTTTGTTCTCCTTAAGAGACAATGACAAATTATTATTGAACTACTTACCCCAAGGCTCACTTATCACATGCAATGAAATAGCTTAGAAGTTCCTAAGCAAGTACTTCCATCCATCAAAAATAATAAAGATTAGGAATGATATCACATAATTCGTGTAATTAGATGGATAATCAATATACAAAGCTTGGGAAAGTTTTAAGGAGTTTCTTTGAAAGTGCCCACACTATACTTTGCTTGATTGGATACTCAATCAGACTATCTATAATAAATTTATAGGATCTATTTGATTGATCATATATGTAGCTATTAGACATTCTTTGATGACTAAACCTTTTTGATGAAGCATTGGCTTTAATTGAAGACATGGCCACTAATAACTTCCAATGGCCTTATGGGAGAGTAAACCACCCAAGTAGCTTCTACATCAAGAAAAGTGGATAATACTAGAGTTAGTACATCTCAAGGTACACCTATAATAGTAGAGGAGAGTATCTATGGATCATTTAGTGATACAACCTCATAAGGTGATGATGTGGACAATTTTTTTGTATGTTTTCCACATGATTTACTTTAAGGGTTTTTTTTTTGTAAAATTTTTATAAAATAACATTATACCATCCCGAGAGATAGACTAATATTTTACTATTGATTTAAAAGAAAAACTTTATTTATTTTCATAATCAAACACAGTATAAGGAATATTTAATTCATCTTGAAGGATAAAAGGAATATTCACTTATCATTTTAATTATGAAACTAAGTCAATGCATTTATTTTCATAATCAAACAACATAAAGAATATTCAATTCATCTTGAATGATAAAATAAATATTCACTTATCTTTTTTATTAAAAAAATAAACCAATTTTTTTGCTAGGTCTACATCAACAAATTCTTTCCCTACCTTAGAAAGGAACTAAGGTAGGGTTTATTTTAATATTGGGTTCTAGACTTCTTATAAGGGCAAGCCCTTATAGTTAATAGTATCTCAAAATATAATACTCATGAATAAAGTGATGATTAAAATTTTAAAATTCATATAGAAATAACGAAAATATTGAGTAGTAAAATTTTATATATAGACTTTAGATTATAAGTTTTGATTTAGATTTAGATTTTTGAGAATGGTAGAACATAAAAAATGTGTAGAGTCTAAAGAGTGTATTTAATTAGGACTTATTCTTGCCTAGAGTGGGATACCAGCTAATAATCCTAAGAACAAAATAATATCATCATGAATGTAGGATTAGATAGCACTATCCTAAGAAATAAAAAGTTATATTTTATAAAACTTTAACCATGGGGCTTTATAATATATACATGATCGTGAAGTGAAATAGTGAATAAAAAATAATTTATGAATTAAAAAGCTTTTATTTATTTATAATTTCTTAATGTATAACCTAGGGTTGGATGTAAAGTAATGGTGACTAGGCACTACCAATAATAAGCCAGTATTTTTATTTTTATAAAAATGTTGATTTAAATATGATTGTTCATTTCAGTCTTTGAATATTCTAGCATCTAGATATTTTATAGAAATTCAAAAGATAATGATGTTAAAAATAAGAATAATCATTTCCTTTTGGAATGTAAATATGTACATAAATAATCATTTTTAAATCTTACAACTCTTTACAATATGTAACTCAATCTAGCTATACAAGAATTTTAAGCATTTATTTTTACACTTTTCTTTGAATTTACATTTACATCATTGCCTAGGTACATTTTACTTTCAAGAATATAAAATAGTAATATAAAATAAAATTCAAATATGCAATGTTATGTGAGTGTATACAAGTAAATATAAAATGGTTTAAGAGCCTATTCTCAGCTAATGTGCACCAACATAAATATAAATATAACATCCATAGTATAAAAAGTAAATACACTAATTATGATTATCCTCTATGGCATTCCAAACATATCAAACCAAAACACTATCCTAGCATAAGCTAAAGTAAGGTATCTTAACAAGCTATCTAAAGTGAGTGTATAAGGCTATGTAGCTTGGATATATCTTAATTGTTTGTTTTTGGTTTTTGAAAGTTGGACTAAATTTAACTATTTAGTCACTTAGAAAATTTTGAATTTATTTTAGGTTGTTTTGATTGTTGACATTATTTAACTTTATATTTTAAAGAACACAACACTCAATAACTTTTAAGTGCAAGAAGTCATTGATTACCAAATCCTAGGCTCATATTTGTAATGCTACTAGTCTTTCAAATTTTGGATAGATAGGCTACATAGCCCTTGCAATTTGATTAGGTGTTTTAGTCCTTAAAGATTCCAATCCAACACACCTTCTCCTTCCTAAAAGGAGTCAAGCAAAGAGAATGAAATCTTGAATTTCTAAGTGTTTTATTACTAAATTATCAGAGGTTATTTAGTTTAAATAGTAATTATATTTCTTAAATCATGTCTATGAGGTTTATTTCAGCTAAACTAATAGCCTTGTGCTCGCGGGCTACCTAACAATCACCTTATTATTTGTGTTTAATTTTTGGTAGTATTATTCAAAGGATTTAATTTATTGAGTTAATCATTTACTAAATTTTTAGCGAGTTATTGAATTAATTAAATAATTAAACTTGACAAAACATTGACATTTTAATTTACATTGAATTCTAAAATTTTATATTTTATATAAATACTAGACCTAATTATGAGTTGAATGTCTTTAGTTTGTGTCATTTGCAATTTTATGGAATTAGTTGTGATTTTTACAAGTTCAGTCCATTTAATGAATTAATTAATTTTTTAATAAATGGATTTTTTTTTTGCTCTAAATCAACTCCACACATCTTGAAATCTATCCATAATGTCATTGATGTCTCTTAGGGATGGTTGTAAGTGTTTAGAATAATTTAGGGATTTTTATCAATTTAATTATTTTAATTAATTAATTAATTTTCATAGTTTTTAAATTACTTTTTTTGAAGAATTTCAATGGGCTTTTAATTTTTCCTTATTATTATTTAATTCTGAGAACATCTTAAAGCTTAAAAATATACTTTTAGCATTTTATTTGATTAAGAATAAAGAAAACTATGTCAATTATGCCTTATACAACTTGTTCCAAATTATAACGAAGAACACTCAGTATATTGAAATATAGGACAAATAGGTTATATTTTAACTTTGCCTTAAAGTAATTAAATAATTTGATCATCAAAGGCCTGTACTGTACGTGTCACAATCTATCCTCAAGGATAAATAATATATATATATATATTATATAATATATATATATATATATCCTTGTTGATTTAATTTAAACAATCAACTATTTGGTTTGGGATAAAATCATAGTCATTCTAACCCTTGTATAAACATAAATAAACCGCATCAATTTCAAGCCCTAATTATGTATAGATTAAGAGCAATGAATTTTCAAAGTTTTGGGTCAAATTGTGACCCATAACATTTAAAGTAAATTCCTAAAGATCCATTGATCATCAAGGCCTAAGAAAATTAGTGTATGTATCATTAGGGGTGTCAATTTTTGACACCACTCGAAACCAGACCCAGACCCAACCTAAATAAATTCAGGTTTGGGTTAACCCGTCTTGTGAAATAGGTCAGGTCTAGGTTCGGATTTCTGACCTATTTAAAAAACATGTCAGGTTCAAGTTGACCCGGATACCTACGGGTCAACTCAAATTGACCCATTTATATTTTATAAACCCAAATTTACCATTCCATTTTCCCACGTCTATTTTTCCTACATTTATCATGTCTGTCCATTACGGTCAAACCATCACATATGTCATTGTATCCATCACAGTCAGCCCATCACCTCAGCTTGAGAGTTGAGACATCTCGACATTCGCTAGGTCACATATGTTGCATCACCAATCTGGGGCTCTGGGCCAGTCGCATTTGTGCCTCCTCTAGTACATAGAGTTTGTGCTACTCTGTTAGATGCAATTACTGCATTACATCCGTGTGTGCCACTCCGGCCTCTGCCAATCACTCCTTCCATTTCTAACACAACCTCTGTGACCTACAGGTAGCAACCAGCAGGTGGACGTCACATCATTGACTCCACTCCTGCCATGCCAGTGGTGCCGCCTAGCATGATGTCGCCCATTTTTTGAATTAAATGGTTCCGCGGGTTGGGTAGGATCAACCCAAAAATACGTGGGGGCCTAGTTCAGGTTTAATTTTCTGATCTATTTTTTTAAATGGGTCAGGTTCAGGTTGTCCCGTTTTGCCTGAGTCAAGTCGGGTTTGACCTGAACCCAACCTGTCGAACTGAATTGACACCCGTATATAGCACACATGCCCTAATTTTCATTGTTCAAATTTGAACCCAATTAGACAGTTGGTTAGAGATTAAATTAGGAAAATTAATGGGTATTCAAACCCAACTAACTCTATACATTGTTATCAAAATTCTTTAAAATTATTTTTAAAATAAAATTAGCATCAAATTGGTTCTAAAGAGCCCAAGAACAGAAAAATTGGATGATAAATAGATTTATATAACATTAAATACCCTAATATTTTTATTATTCAATAGACATGACTTAGGAGAAGTTCAACCCACCCATTTTACCTTTTAGTTAATCGAGCATTCATTAACTTTTCCAAAGGGTATGATAGAGGATGTGTTAGTAAAGGTGGATACGTTTATCTTCCCTTTTGACTTTATTAACTTGGATTTGGAGGAAAATATCAAGATACATATTATCTTGGGTAGACATTTCTTAGCCATAAATAGGGTCATGGTTGGTGCGTGGAAGGGAGAGTTAATCTTGTGGATACATAACCATGAAGTGATCTTCAATATCTTGAAGTCTATGAAGTTTCCTAATGATCATAGTGAGGATTATTATAGAGTGGACTTAGTACATAATTATGTGGAGGATTTTGGGGAGTAGCTATTAAAAAATAGTTCTTTGAATTGTTCACAGTGTGAGGATTACATATGAGAGGTATAAAGAGATTCTATTCATGTGGTTAGTGAAGCCTCTATAGTTTTTAGGGAGAGATACAAAACTTTAGATACATTATGTCTACAAAAGTCTTTGATACCATCTATCGTAGAGGCACTAGTTCCTAAATCAAAAACCTTTCCTACCCACTTGAAGTATGCCTTTCAAGGAGAGTGTGGAAAAATTTTATGGGCCCACATGAATTTTGGTTTTAGTGCTCTTAATTTAAATATGCATATCAAAACATCTCTCGTAAGTTAAATTAGTGCTTAATTATTAATTTTAA